ACCAATTCAAAGTTGGCACCTTCACCACGCGGCGCAACGATCACCGGCCACTTATACGATACCATGACTACTAGTTTTTTTTTTATCTTCTCAACTATACTATCGAGGCGACAAGTTGTCTGTCTGTATATTTTTTAGTTGTGAAAACCACGTTTTTTTGTATTTTTTTTTTGTCCTCCGTTTTTTTTTTTGTAAAATAAAACGTTGAATCGATCCTCCGTCAACTTTTTGTGTCAACCAGAGGCTGTTGTTTTTTTGTCCTCCGTATTTTTCTTTAAAAAAAAAACGTCGAGATGTTGATGATGGCGTGAGGCGCCAACTATGGCCGATGATGGGCCGGCACTCTTCAAGAAATCACAATTCAAGAAAAAATATTATATTATACATGGCCTTTCTCTTTTTATTAACATTTGTTTTTTTTTTTTTTTTAATCAAAATCTAGTAGCTCCGTCAACAAGTACTATCTTGCTTGGTGCGTCTACTAGGTCACTGTCCAGTGTTTCCCTGGATTGTGGGTAAATAGTAGGCCTCTGTTTTGGCTGAAACCTTACATGTTTAATATTTTTACTAATTATATTTTAACGTGTTAATTATTATTAAAATAAAGAGTAAATTTAAAATCTAAAAAAACTATTTTTTTATTATAAACATTAACACATAGATTTATATATGTGTTAAATTAGGTATACAAATACAATGTAGGTATTATTAATGTTTAATGTTTAATGCATGCAGTGAGAAAAATAGGTATCTTCTCTCATATATTTCAAAATTGTCATGCATGCAATAACAGGTCTATTCTTGAATGAATATTGTTCTAATAAATATAGTTTAAAAAAAACTAAAAACACGCTTTTAAAGCACATCGAACTAAAAAGTTTAAAATAATTTTTAAAATAAGCTTAAAACAATAATGAACAAAAAGTACTAGCCGCGTCCTTTTTTAACAAATTATATAATGGTTTAGCTATCAGCGCAAAATTGGGAATAAAACGGTGAAAATATGATGCCAAGCCAACGAAACTGTGAATTTATTTTTTATTTTTCGGAGCAGGGTAGTTATCGATTGTACTTACATTTTTCGGAGATGGTTGGATACCAGATTGACTAACGCAGTAGCCCAAATAAAGTATACTACGCATAAAAAATGTATTCTTGTCTAACCGGATCTGAAATTTATTTTTACGCATGTTCAATAAAACTCTAATAAGAATATCTAAATGCTCAACTATATCGGTAGCAATCAAAAGATCGTCAAAATAAACAATAAATTCGTGTTTACGAATAAATACTTAAAAAACATCATTAATAAATCGACCAAAACGGGCGGGTCCATTGACTAACCCAAAAGGCATTTGGAGGTATTCGTATAGTCCTAACGGAATAGTAAAAGATGTATACTTTATTGAATCGTTGGCTATTTGGATATGATGAAATCCATCTTTTAAATCAATACAATTGTAATACTACTTACCACGAAGTAAATCGAGATTATCATCGATTAACGGTAACGGGTATCTTTCTTTAACCATGTGTTTGTTTATTTCGCGATAATCTATACAAAGACGGAGCTCACCGTTTTTCTTCTTTACTAAGATAATTAGACTACTATATTCTGACTGGCTAAGTCTAATTTTTTTCGTCTTAACATATCATTGATTATTAATTGTAACTGTTGTTTTTCAAAAAAAGAGACGCCTTGGGCGGAAATAAATTGGAACCTCAGTTTTTAATTTAATATGTAACAGCGGCGGATTTTCTAATTCAGTAGTTAGATCGGTCGCGTTATCGACAGATAAATAACTGCTAGTATATACATCGATAATCTTTTGTCAGATATTTAATGGCAAGTTAGGCTTTACGGTGATATCAATGTCATAACCATTATTCTCGTCATTATGATAATCTAACGATAATATTTCGTCAAAGCGGTTGTTATCAGTGGTCTTAAACGAGATAGTGAACTGTCCATCAACAATACGCACATCGACACGGTTAAGAGCCAAAAAATTTCGTCCAACTAAATAATCGTTTTTAATCGTCCGATCGGGCACTACGCGGAACCGTAAACTCATAGGAACATTTAATTCGTCATTTAAAACGTCAGCCATGAATTCATCAACAATACATAGTGGTGGCCCATTTATATCTACCAAACTACACTTGGAGGTAGTAATACCTGAGACATACGGAACAATACTGGATTTTAAAAGGCTCACTGGACTACCAGTATCAATAAGAGCAATAATATTAGAAATATTGCCATTGGGATATTTAATACGGATATCTAACATAAAAAGGGGTACAAAACAACTCGAAATATGTTTTAAAATTGATACATTCTCACTGCGGGAATCATTGAACCGTTTACTTCTGAGACACTGACGTGACTGATGTTCTCTGGACTGACAATGGTAACAAGGACGACGTTCATCTCAACAAGCTGGACAGGAACTTGAATAATGGCCGATGGATTCACAATTGAAACAACTAACATTAGTGTTCCGATCACTTGGACGGCTGGATATCCTCGGTGTAGACTGACTAGATTGAAGTGGTGGACTAGATTGAAGTGGTGGACTAGATTATCTAGACTCAATAGCAGGAAGCTCTCGATTGAAAGATACTCTAAATCTATGTGGGCTGATAACTTGCGTGTAACGACTCTTAATTGATCCTTCGGCTCGGAAACGGTCTTGACGAGCATTATCAATTTTCTCGTAATTTCAAATGTCAGTTAAAAGTTCATCTTCGTTTTTATGGTCACAAGCAAACAAGTAGTGACATAAATCACTTGAAATAAACCTTCCACTATCTGTCGTTTACTTTCATCAAACGTAAAGTTAATGTCACGGCAAAATTGCATTTTGTGATGAAAATATTTCAAAACGCTATCATTTTTTAATTGTAATCGACTGGACATGAGACGAACTCGATCGACTGTATGGAGTCTGCATCCTACAAATGTTTTGGTTAACTGTTCAATAAAACTATTCCAATCGGCAAACTGGAGCGAAGAGTACCAATATTTGGATGGACCAATTAACTTTAACCGCACAAGTTCGAGTTTAAAGTTATGGGGCCAGCAATGTAATTTAGTCACACTTTCAACTGATTGAAGCCAAAGTTGAGCGTCCCTAGTTGACTCGCGGCCGGTAAAGTTACTGATACTGTTATTGAAATCAGGCATGGTGAAATATCTTTGAGATGGAGGAACGGGTGGTGCTGCATTGTTATCTGAGTTATGATTATTCTTCGATAGTAACTGCTGCATTAGAAGATTATTTTGAGTGACCAGTGTAGTCAATATATCACGCAGATCAGCAGCCCTGTTATGAGCGTTAAAGTTTGGGTCACCTTCCGGCTCTATAATGAGAGAGGATGTGCTGTCGTCTGACATAGCGTCTCTGACGTCATTTGCAGGTAAAACCGACTGACTCCGTAGCCGCATGGACTTTATAACCTCGAACGAACTGGATAAATTCAAAACTCTCAAAAATATTTAACTTGCATACAATATCACGATAACAATTAATATAAAATAATCACTTCGAATAATACTTATCTAACTCAACGAAGCAAATAATGAACAACGATACAATAAACGAACAATAACCGGCATCGGCTAACTGTCTACCCCACACCTGAATTTGTAGAAGATAAATATATATTAAAATAAGAAGGAACAATAATTTCCCTTAATGGTTACGATTTATTCGGTAGATCACTAATACACAATAAATAGACACAAAACTAAATAAATAAGTAGCACTTGACGCTACAGCCCAGCACGGTGGAGAGTCGACCACACACTGACTCTTAACAATAAGCCTTATCGCTAATCGATATATATATATATCGCTAATCGATATATATATATATATAAACAAAATACTACATTACTAATTATATCTGAAAAGTTTTGTATCATGCTCTTAAATTTTTATACACGTTTGCCATAAAAATAACAGCTACTTTATAATTTCTCCGTAAAAATTACTATACTAAAGTTTTAAATATCAATTTCATACTATATTTAATTGCTATAATATTTATTCATATATTACACTTATAATTTATAAAACTTTTAATCAGGATATAAACAAAGAAATAGGAGATCATGTTGCTTTTGAAATAATCCACCAATTTTTTTAAATTAAAGACATTCTACAGATTTTCATCGAAACATTTCTTATGATTAAATCGATACTGGAACCCAACTATGCCACGTCCCCACTGTGCTCGGTGTCAATTACTTTACACTGTGTAGACAATAACTGGGAGTCAAAAATTGAATTAATTTTTACTAGTCAATTTCTTTCAAATGAAACAAAAACTGGTGAAAATATAAAACGTTTTTTACACAATTTTGTTTCAAATAAGTGAGGCTGCAAATGAAACTTATTGTGATTTAATGTATAATATAACATTTATTACTGACCAAGGAACTAATATGATATTAGCACTTGGAAGTTTTAAGCGTCTCAATTGCTGTGCACATTTGATTAATACAGTATTAAGAAATTTATCTGATGATAAATTTTTGAATAATGAAGATCTTAGAATACTATTAGTTTCTCTCCGACGTCTTCACTATCTTTCTATGATTTCGTTATTATTTATATCTCCCAATCATTCCTGCCTTGCTAATTTTCCTATTTTAATCGCTTCTTTACATATTTTATTAAACATATTATATGTCAACTTCATCTTACCCAGAATCTTCACAGATGCATCATTTATAGTTTCATTACCCATTTGCTTTTCTTTTAGGATGTTGTCTATCCTGTACTTATATTAGTCACATATCCTTTTGTGCACTAAATTTATTAATGTTGTATATATTCCTTTTCGTTGATCTACATTTTGTAATTTTCTTTAATTTCACTTTTATTCAACATGCAACCAGTAGGTCAGTATCGGAATCATACATATTTGTATATAGTTAGCAAAAAAATGATAATAAATATTATTTATATATATAAATTAATGAGGAACAATAAATACAAATGTTTTCTATTCAATTAATTTACATTACAATGAAAGAAGAGTATACAATTTTTCAGACACGAACTGTCTAAAATGGGTACAGAATGTTACATAATTTTAAGGACAAATAACAATAATACAATGATTACAGTTAGATTACATTAATACATCTAAACTCTATCAGAGAATAACTACTAATTAGGGTACATTTACGTTGAGGTGTAATGAATGCTATAACATTGCAGTTAATCGAAGCCTGTGATTTACTCATTGATTTACGATTTGTGAAGTGAGCTAAGTAGTGACAAAAGTAGTAGAGTAGCGAAGACCTGCACATCTGTAGAATTAAATAATTATTTCATTATTTTGTAAATGATAAAATTTAACTTTATTCATTGTTATAGTGATTGAAATGATAGTTATTTATATAAAAATAATCGTGTGATATAATAATTATACAATTATTGTATATATATATATACATATTATACATAAAAAATTGTATATGATTTATGAACTTTATTACACACAATAATTAATGTTTATTTGACACATTTACAAAACTTGCAGTATTTGAAAAATATTTGGCAGAACTTTCAGCATTCTTAGTTTCAGCAGCTTGTGGATTGACTATTTCCAAACCCTAGACATTATTAAAAAAACAAAATATAAATAAATAAATATTTTAAATTGCACTAATAAAAATCTAATAAAAAAAGAATTTAATTTACATAATCTAACAACCTTTGTTTACAAATTTACTATATTTTGATAGCACAATAAAAACTTTTCTCATTATACAAATTTTTCGAAGACAAGCACTTATTTTATTCAAATTAATATAAAAATGATTTCAGTAAAATTTGAGAATAATTATATTCAATTAGATCATACATATTATCTAGTAACCATAGCCAATTTATACTATAAATTTATTTTTATTATTGATTCAAACAGTAAAAAATGAACAAAAAAAGAAAGTATATACAGAGTAAATAATGTATATAAACTAGTGATGGGAAATATCGAATAGTAATTATCAAACTATTCGATAGTTGTCCACTATTCAAAAGTTTTAAAAACTATTCGAATGGAGCTACCGAATAGTTTTTTAAATATTTGATAGTTTATGCTAAAAATAAAATATTCGGTGGTATAAACACAATTTGAATAGTTTATCAATAGTTTAAAATATTTATGAGTTATTAATTATTTTTAGAATCATCTCTTTCAAATTATAGGTGTGTCAACTTTATTTAAAGTAATATATACATATTTAACTAGCTTTTAAAATAGAAAATTATGTAATTAAGAAAATTACTGGTTGATATAACAACTTTTAATTATTTCAGATGTTTACTTTATTTGTTTACTACATACTTATGTTTTATGACAAGGTGGTAAAGATCTAACCGACAACTTCTATTAGAAGTTTTGTATTGGAGGTGGATAATAGTAATAAAAATGTTCATATCCCCCCTTAATGAAAAAAAAATGTATCTTTGACATTTAATTATTTTTGTCATGGGGAATATGATATGGTTATATCCCTTAATGACTGTAGTGACTTTAACTTTTGATATAATTAATATTATGCTACATTTTTTTTTATAATTTATGTATTCATGGACTAAGTTAAAATTATATATTTAGCTGCAATGCAGAAATGTGAAACTATTGGTTTTAAATTGTCATTTTTTTTGTGTGTGTGTCTGTATATCAAGCTGATCAATTGCTACAATTTTTAACCAAACTAATTTGATTTTACTCAACAATATGTCAAAAGATCACAAAATGTATCTAGTTGAAGTTATCAGAGCAATAATTTTGAAAAAATGACTTCATTCCCTATATTAAAGGAAAATGTCTAAAAAAAGTTCAATTATAATAAAAAATTGAATGTTCATATTTTTAGTTTTCACATGTAATTAAATATCTTTAGGAAAACTGGACAGATTGTTGCAAAATATTTGTTGGCATTATTTTAAACTATCTTACCAACAGTATATTTTTTTACTTTGAAAATATAATCATCAACCAAGGTACTGTGGGGCTTAAAAATCATATGAAAACTTTTTATTTAATTTAAAATAATGCCTAAGAAACTTACCTTCTTTAAATTTACCTTAAATTATTAAAACTAATACAATAAATTTTAAGATGATTTTAATCACTGTATCAATATTAACCTAAAAATTTAATCATTTTATTGGATTCCTATTGTACACTAATTTTTAAAAACTAAGGTTTCATTTAATTTTGGAAACTATTAGTTCAAGTAGATTAAGTTTGGATTCATGACACATTAATCAATATAATCAGCGTTAAGAATTTCAGTAGACAAAAACATACACACAAAAAAAAGTCATGGTAAAAACAATACCTTTGTGCTTTTTAAAGAAACTATAAATTTTATAATAAAAGAAACTAGCTACTTGTCACCTTTTTAAACTTGTATATGATAATGAGTTATGGTCTGAATACCTTAAAATATTAAACACAAAAATGTAATAGTGTTTTTAAGTTAGAATTGAGTATTTAGAATTTTTAAAGTTATTGATAATACTTTTTGATTTTCCTTAAAAAAAGTTACCACATAGTATTTAAGTAATTTAATTGATCTTAAATTTTGTAGAGATAATTTCGATATACATTAGTTTATTTTTTATTTAAATATAAGCCATAAAGAATTAATTAAAAAAAAATTACAAATGGAAGTCTATTTAACAGGTCAATATTATTAAAGAATAATTTTTAAAATGTTATAGAATAAAAAATTTATGTTAAATAAATGAATAGTTTACATTTATTAATTTTTTTGTTTATTTATAAAAACTGTTTCTCGTGCCAGACGGGATGGGAAAATCTATATAGCCATGGTTAATAAGATCCAACCACCTTACCTATGAACTGAGGCCTGTTGTGTTACTAACATAACTTGGTATACCACCAAAATGAAACAATAAAAGACTGTACAATTTAGTAGATTATTACAGCAATACCACTTGACTAATATATATATATATATATAGTATTTAGTATTTACCTGAAGTGGGGTAAATGCAACACTAGAAGCAGTACCAGATACATGTTTTTTTACTGATGTGGTACCACCCCAAGCTTGCTGTTTCTGTAAGTTTTTCTGAAGAGTTTTTGATATTCGTACTTTTGTTTTTTCATCAACTTGAGCATGGCGAATTCTACCCGTTCCAGATTTTCCTATTGTTCCTCGAGTATAGCCCAAATCTTCCTGATATGCATCATCTTCAATCTATATTTTGAAAATATGTTTAAATTATTGAATACCAAAACTATACTAAAAACTATAATACACTTAAAAAAACAAAAGTCTTGCTTAAACAGAACAAAAATTTCAAACTCTTAAGATTAAAAAAAATTCAATTTAAAAGTATTATTTTAATATTATATTTTATTAATAAAATATATATTATAAATAATTTATAATATATAGTTTTTATTATAAATTTATTATTATTTGTTGAAAAATATTTTTTATCAATTAAATAGTCAATACATTTTTACAATTAAATAATACTATATAAATAATAAATAAACTCATAAAATAATTTATTAATCACTAAAATATTTTTGTAAAATTACATAAAACACAAAAAATGATTTTTCTTAAAGCTATCAAAAAAAAAAAATTGTTACTTATGGCGTGAGCACCATTATAAAAAATAATTAGGCATAATAAACAAGCTATTAAGTTGAATTATAAGTTTATACTCAAGTATCTCATACTTGAACAATCAATCTAAAGTGATCACAGTTTTAATCATAATTGAAATTGGGACACTCTTGTAAAATACTCCCAAAAGTTATTACTTTGTGGATAACTGAATGGTTAATGGTATACATTTGATTTTGTAAATTATTAAATAAAAAATAATTTTTTCATGATAAGTGAAAGAACTCTTACATCAGCAAAATTCATTCTATTAGCTTGTTTTCGTAATTCTGTTACAGCATAACGTTCTTTCATTTTACGAACTCTTTTTCCACCCCTCTTTTTTCTACCTGGATCAATTGGCTTAGGTAAAGGTTTAACAAATTTAACAGGAGGTGGTTCCTAAAATTAAAAAAATGTTGAGTGTTTAAATAAATTAAATTTTTTAATATTATACAAAAGTTTACAGTTAATTTGTCTAATTTTTTTTCTATATCTTCCTTCAAAGTTAATCCTATATGTCCATCTACACTTTCGTGTGCAGCATCCACTCTTGCAGCTAAAGTACTTTTTGTAGCTACTAACCTAGCTGCTTTTCTTCGCAAATCCTAATAATATTTGTAATTCAAATGTTTTCATTAGTATTAAAAGATAGGATTTATTATTTAAATATATTTTGTAAACATACAGGAGGATTATTCTGAACTAACGAACAGTGAAAAATGAATCCAGTATGTGGCATTGAATTTGCAAGAGAGAAACCAGACAACATCTTTTTTTGAGATCCCAATAATAAAACATTACAAGCAGGCATTTTCGATAAATTTGTCAAACCCCCTGCTACTCCTGAAAAACATATTTATTTTTTAATACTTTCTTAAATGTTTACTTGTAATATAAATTTCTAACCCATTATTTTGGCTGCAGTTGAAGCTCCAACTATAACAGATAGATTTGGTGCAATAAACGTCATTCTACTTTCAACGTATTCATATACTTTCATCTTTAATTTATTTAAATCAATTGCCATATCACAAGCTTCACAAACTTCTTTTAACTCATTATCTGTCAATAATTTTCTAAAAAAATTTAACCCAAAACAATAATTTGAAATTAAAAAAAGAGTAAAGACTCAATAATAAGTTAACTAGTATACAAATGTATTAATAAGCATCACTATGAACACACCAATTTTTGTAAAGCTCTAATTACTAGAACTCATTAGCATTTTTTACCCTCTCCCCCTCCTAATAAAAATTTTTTAACAGGCCTATTGGCATAAGCGAAACATACTAAACTATTTTGAATCTTTGATATTAAATGTTAATAAGTCTTTATAAATTTTTAACAATAAAAAAACCTATTGATAAATATATCACCAATTTAAACATCAATAGCCTATAATATAGTCAATATTATTGATTTGCAACTATGTATAAAAAAATTAAGTTTCATTTTAAAATAATTTAACATTTTTGTCCTTTTAATACATAATACATTCAAAGCTAATAGAACAAAAAAAGATATTTGTAAATATTTTCATTCCGAGCCTTGTGGTATTAGTATTACTAATAAGTGTGCACACCATATTTTATAAACAACTTTTCTAATCTGAATTGTTTCCTAAATATTTTTTTAATAATACGAAATTGAATCATTAAAACACTAAAATATGAATACTAAATAATGATAAAGAATGTATAGATATTTGTTTTTTAATAATATTTTGAAACACACAATTCTTATAATTTATAATAACATACTCTCATTTAGCTCAATTAGGAATACATTGCCTCGGTATTTATATACGTTTGATTTTATTGTATTGAGCTATGTAAGTTTGTTCCGTTCTCTATAATACAAGGAAAAAAGAATGTACAACATAGAAAATAATAATAAATACCCTTGAGTTGTTGATGCTGTAACTGAAACTACCATAATTGTTGCTTGTGTGAGAAATGTAGGAAGAACTTCATTATTTTTGGATTGTTCAAGAGTATTTCCTAATTCTTTAACAGTTTGAACATATTCTAATGGTCCAACAACTAATGATTCTAATTCAGGGAACCTTTTTGAATATTTGTCTCGGACAAATTTATGAATAACCACTAAAATCATAAATAAATTTAAACAATCAATACTTCATTATTTATATAATTCATTGGTACTAACATATTTCATCATCAATTTCAACTATAAGATTATTTGCTTCTACAATTAAAAGATATTCTGGATCAGATTCAACTGGACCTAGAACTTCATCAGGCCTTCTTTGTCTGCTTTGAAAAACATAAATTTGTTTCATTATTTCATTCAAACGACTAGATTTTCTGAGTTTTGCAACATCTTCAATTTTGACGTTTTTAAATTCTATAAAAAACAAAAATTCAAACACATTAATTTTTTTTTGAAGAAAAAGAACGACACTAATTACATATTATATTTGCATTACACTAAATAATTGTATAACTTGACTAAACAAATATTACCTGATTTTTTAAAAATTGATGCATCATCAGATATTTTGTTTGATTCTTCTTCGACAAACATGGGCTCACATTCATCAAAGCCATCTTCTTCTAAATCAGCTAGTAATTCTTCAGCCAAAGACATATTTGGTCACTTATCGTAATACTAATTTAAAATTGTAGACATTTTTTATAAATAACGAAAGTGTACGTTTCGGCAGTTCACACAATACGGCAAGTACAATTTTTTGTTTATGATAACAAAACAATTATTTCAATTTAAATTGTTGTGATACAATTAATTATTGAAGTCTTGGTAGCACTGATAATAATATCAATGACAGAAAGTAAAAGGTAACTTAAATTCAAACACATGCGATTAAATTTTGTGAATACTAATTTTAACCAATTAATTCAATTGGAAATACATATATCAGTTCGGTACTTAAGGGATGGCGTATCGGTGCAATTGCCCCCGGCGGTATAATTTAAACGGGGCAAATTTAAAAAATGAAGACATTGGTAATCATTTAAATTTACTATTTTTGTAAATTAATATTTTACATGATTTTGCATGTTTCATAATTTGCAATGTTTTAAAGTATAATCTTATTTTTGTATTGCTGTGTTATTATGTAACGCAAACATTTTTATGTCTCCTGAAAAATATTTAAAGGGGTTGTATTTAATTATTACACCAATATCTTTACATGAAAAAATGTTTACTTTCAAATGAATATGTCTCCCTTAATGCTCCCATACTTACATATACTACACAATAATAGTATTGTATATCTATGATTAAATAATAATAGACATCAAAACATTCTCAAAAAATAATAATATAGAAACTCTCATAAAGAAATACAATTTTGAAATTATGAAAATTTGATTTTTTAATCAATTTGTTAAATTTCGAGTTCGGAATAGGTCATACTGGTCTTTTTTTAAACCACCTATATCTCTTTTAACTGAACAAAGAATGATGGATCACTTATTTCGGTTTAATATAAAAAATTGATTAAATTATAATTCAATACTTTTTTTAAGTAATACTAAGTACTTTAGAAAAAATATATATTTTTATAGTTAGGTATTTTTTATAGATGGTTAATAAGTAGGTCTGGTGCTAGAGATGTTACGTGTGCCCCCGTCTTATAAACTTAATTTATGATCAAAATAAAAACACATCATAGTAAAACTAATACCTTCTCAGCTTCGCATCGCAGCTAAAAGATTCTTTATTCACTAAAAAACAATATCAAGAGCCCGTAAAATTGTTTCACATAACCCTACAATTTCTAAAGGTGGCCCAATCGGCCCTGTTTCTTTAGTGTCGGAAAGAGAAGACTATGCCCGAAAATTCAGAATAATTGTTTTAGACTGAAAAAACATTAGATAAAACTTCTTCAAAAAAATGACCATTGTACGTTTACCATATGATAAAGATTGACTATTTAATATCATATACGTCGACTATTTACTTATATAAATGATAAGTTAAATATTGTACTTTAAAGTTATAAGAGTATTAAGGTCGATGTCCTAAAATGTTAAATAATCACAAATTGTTTGTATAAATTTATGTGCAAAGAATTCCTAATTATTTAAAAAATTGTTTTTGAAAATAATCAATATATATTTAGAGTGATATAAAGTGATTGTTTTATCATAAACCACTTTGTCGCAAAATAATATTATATGTTCTTTTTATTAATTTATTTTAGTTATATACTGTTCTCAATTTTTCAATTATGAAATTATTTTATGTTTATCCTTTATAACTTATAAGGGTGTCATTTTATTTTTTAAACAACATACATAATTGCATAGATAATAATGATCTAGTTAAGAAAATTACTGGTCGTTAATAATTTTTGGGGCAGTATATCAGAAGTTAATAAAAATTTTAAGAAATAACTGGTGTTATGCGGGTGTTGCTATTTTTATCACTAGACATTTTTCGACCTCAATTCTCCTTCCGTCTAAGTATAAAAATCTTAATAACTTATGAAATGTTGGTCCTAAGTTGTTATCAACCAGTCGTTTTTTTTATCAGATTATATTTAATGTCTAGTTTAGTTAATTACGTATGTGTTATTTGAGAAATTTAAGTTAATACTCTTTATTTTTTATTTTGAGAGATCTATCCTCGTCACTCCCCCTCCCTAAATTACGCCTTTGTTTATGCGATAGCACTAATTAGTGAAATGAGTAACTAATTCTTTTATTTTATTAGAATAATAACTTGTCTAGTTTTTATAAATCAAATATTTATGTGAATATGTAACACACGCATGCGCGCGCAGTTTTTCGTTATTCTACCGAGTATAGTCCTTCACAAATAACTTAATTACAATATATTAGTAATTAAATGACTCATACTTATATATAAAGGTTAAAATAAATAAACAATAATTTTATTTCTACGATATATTTTAGATCTGTTAAATAATTATTAGGAGTTTCAAGATATAAATTAACAATTTCCATTTCCCTGTCACATTTCCACATTCAAAATTAAGTGAAAAAATAAGACAGGAATTTTCTTGTTTTTCGTTTCATATAGTGATCGGCCAATAGGTGTCTAGTCTATAAGCGCTCCAAGACTTTGAGGCTCATCGCCACAACCTTCCTCCACAAAGTCTTAAATACTTTGCTATTACTCCTTTATTTTGTGCATCAAATGTTGTTAAATATTTTTCGACTTAGTTTAATACTCGTGTAGAACATTTTTTTTTTTTAATGTATATGTATGTTAACTGAAAAATTTGACTTTGGAAATAATTATGCAAAAGACTTATCCGATTTTTGGCAATGATTAAGTATGTTGTTCCCAGTTTTAACAATAGATTCGGTCCGTTGATAGCACGAATGACACTAAATTTTTTTATAGAGGTTTTACTGTAGTAATAATTACACATTTTAACTGGTTAAAAATGACGATATAAGTTAAGAGGGATTCTGTTGTATCTTAAAACCTCTCATTAAGTTCACCTCTGATTCGAAGATAGCTCATTACTTCGATGGACCAATCCGCCACTGGATTTAAAAAGTTAAATAAACATATATACATTAAAATGATGCACAATTTTCTTTGACTTTTTTATTGTTTTTGTGGGTCTAATAATACTCTAGAAACTTGATTCGACAAAAAGAATACTTCATAAACATTAAGTTCATGTGAAAATCATATTTTTTATATATTTGAAATATATGTGATAATAAACAAGGCAATTAAAATTTTATTAAAATTAAATCAAAATCAATTTTTATTTATTCTTCAGCCTTTTTTCAATTTATTCTAATGTACCTAATTACATAGCTATTACATCTGTGAGAAAATAAAAGTAATTTATTTAACTTTAATTAATTTTTGTTGTTTGTAGATTAAAAAAATCATTGGAGTATTGTCAGCGTATTATTTATATAATTATTATGCCATTACAATAGGCAGTTCAAGCAATATTTTTATAGACAAACATATATATTCAACTATAAAATTTGACTAGTATTAGTCTTATTCAAACAAGTTCTGTTAATTTCTTTTACTAAAATGACAAAGATTACTAAGATTTCTTAGGCTGCAACTTATGTGTTTAGAAAAATTCAAAGAAATAAGTATAGGTCAATTAGGTTGTTGAATGGTGAATGGCCTGCCATACCTACCACTTGACTTGTGCTATCGATTAGGCAGTAAAAACTGAGTCATCACAATATAGTACTCTGTACTGGCTATACAGATGTTTTATTTTTGCACTAAAATTGAAAAGGTTATAAAAATTGTTTTAGTTCAATCATCATAATGTTTTATTCATTACACAAATTATACGGATAATTATATTTATATTATAATTATATTCGTTATATGGATTATTGAAATGCAGGTAATCTGAAGGATATAGTTTACAAAGTGTATTCTAAACAATATATATTATTTAAAGTTTTTAAAACCAATATTGGATTTAAATTAATAGAAGAACATTATCTAAATTAATAATTTTTATATTTTAATTTAATTATTCAGATAATAAATTGCATTGAAAAATTCAATCAAGTATGTATTATATATTGATTTCATTATCATTTTCATGATATGATTTTGTTTATGGACAAAAATTGTAAATACTTCAATTACATGATTTTGAAATTGCATAAATGCCTTTCAGCATCTCAGCTAAAATACTAATTAATTTAGTACTAATGATAAATATGTTCAGAGTATTTTATTGGCATGAATTTTATAGAACGTTTATAACAAAACTATATCTACTATATTATACTTTATAAAAAATTAATTAATTTAAATGCATATTGTTTTAACTGAACTTCTGAATTATAACTTAGGAAAACATAAAAAATAAATAACGGTATGATAAAAACATGTTCAAAAATAAAATGTTTTATTTAATATCTTCTTTTTTTTTTTTAATTGGAATTTACGTATTCAATAGGATAATGTGGAGGGGAACAGATGACATGTCTTTGGCGCACAGTTGTCTGGATCCGGCACTGAGATCAACCTGTTTTAAACAAATAGTCATCGAACAATTTCTATATAGCAAAGATGAAGGCGATTACATGGAATTCAGTTTCTATTAACAATAGCCAGACACGCTGGCTGCAGATATTTTGAAGAGAAACTTCACTGAGGAAGTTAAACATAATAGTATTACTATAATTAGTGTGTATAGATTTTTTGCAGAACCGTTGTAATGGCATGGACACTGGTGACTAATAATCCGGTTTCGACGATTTTAATAAAAAGCCCTCTGTGATTCATTAGAGGTATTTTCAGTCTTAGACGATGAAGTGCAAGTAGACTCATTATAGTACCAGCAATTATCCTGTCGCTTCTTTGTCAGTTGCCACTTTCCACTGCTGTACACTCGAACCTCAAGGTGGATTATACAATATACCTACTCAGGAAATTCCCTTTCCACGCAATTATATAGGTAAAAATCCTACGTCATCATAGCGTCAAACAGATACAACACACACACACACACGCACACACGCGTTCTCCGAGGCGGCGACGGCGGTTCGAAAATGCATGACTGTGCGCTGTGTGTGTATATCTAATAATATTTCATACACATTCAAACGTTTATATAAAATGTGTGGTCCGTCAGCGGCATGCGGCCAGTAGCAGCCCGTGCTAGCATAGCAGCTCAACAGCATCACCAGCTGTCGTTATTCCAAACGGATACCTCGTCTCCCACGTGCACCGCAATTTAATGAATTTACAAAAAATAACATAAGCATTATTCGCTGTTGTCGGTGCGAAGGCACAGTTATAACGATGCGAATTTTTCGTGTAGTGATCGGACTTTGACCGCGAGCCCTGGAAAAAGGCCGTCCCGCCTATTATGGGCAACGGGCACGCCGAATCCAATTTGTCGTTTTTCGTTGTGGTCGTCGTTCTCTTGTCGTCGGTCCATTTAACCGCGTGCACCTCAAGCGTCGAGAGTCTCAAGGGACACCCACAGCAACGACGACCCGACATCGTCGAGCTTCGACACAACATCATTACAGGATTGAAATTGGAGAAACTACCAGACATGGCTAAGGTACCCGCAACGTTTTTTACATAGTAATTTACAGTGTTTGCACTAAAGAAATCCTCACAAGAGTTTTGAAAACGACTAACATGCTCTAATTTTAATGTGTCGTCGTAATAGTTTCATTCATCATTACCAAACCGTTTAGGCAGTTATGATTGAGATGGCAGATACTTTTGGGAGATTTGCCAAATGCACTCGCTGAACGATCGTGAGACTAACAAAATGACCAATTTTTTTCATTTTACTATTTATAAAACGGTCACACCTGCACCAAGATTACAGACTAATACATATTAACAAATGGCATTTCTTCTTAAAGCAGTTTAATAGTAGTTGTATATTTTTGCTAAAATTTAATAAATATTGTGTTTTATTTGCAAAACTAGAAAAGAAAAATATATTAGTTTCATTTTACCTTATTTGAACATTTATTTTTTAATTATTATTCATTTATGTGTAACAAACAAAAATAATTAGTGCACTAACAGGGCTCATTATAAATATTTTTTATTATAGTTCATTTGCTAGCATTTAAATTTATCGAAATTAATAGCCCCTAGTGTAGGTAGAAAAATTAATCCTTGGTCAAGGGGTACAATTTTCAAAGTTCATACCATTGTAAAACCTTATAATTCATTTTTGAAAATAATATTAATCTGCTCAGTTTTATATTATAAAAAGAAACTATTTTATAAATTTAAATTCCTAATAAACGCTTATTATATTTACATGAGCAAAATTGAGAAAAATTTTTTCTTCGTCTTTAACATTGAGTATAACGATCTAATAAATTTCATAACAAATCACGCGATCATCACTTTTATGTGATATTTTCCAGTGATGCATACGAAAGTATACTACGGTTAATACCGTTTACTTGGAAGTGATTACAATAGGAAAACGATGCAAAAATTACTAAAAATTTTTTAGAAATTATCATGCTTTTCCTCTAAGTAAATTAATTTTATTGTATTTTTCTAACCTTAACAATAAGTTTTTGATAAATGAATAAACAGTTAATATCCTCGTAATGATGTCATTTTTGCTTGATCATATATTTTTAATAAATTTCGTTAATTAAATGTAATAACAATTGGTACATTAATTGTTTTTTTTATATCAAGAATAAGTAACTAAACAGTAGGGTGATATACCTTTAATTATATAACTTGTATAATAAGCTAACACTATTGTAATTATAAAAACGAATAAATATTTATGAAACTATAAACGCTGTATATATTTATTATCATTCATTATATGTAATTTGCTTATTAACACTTTTGATGAATTGAAGATTTTAAAACTATTTATGGTACTTGATAATTTATCATACAAAAATGTATAATTGGCCATTTGAAGCTCTCGTGGTACAATATATTAGAATAAAATAGTAAACGTGTTACACTTTTATTGATAAAAACAAAATGATTTTGTAGCATTAACGTTGATATGTATATCAGCGATAGATTTAGATGTAATTTTTCAACATTTTTTGAACTCGAACTTCAGTGATGAAAATCGGCGCATTATTTTACACATTATTTTTATGGACACATTGATGAATGACTGTTTTTTGTCATAGGCGGATATCAGTAATGACGAATTCCATTGCAAATATTTGGAATATTTCCGACGATTATATATGGACGACGAAAACGACGATGTAATGACTGGTCTAATAGCAGGTTATGATAATGATGTATCAGCGATACAAATACAGGGCCAGGTGAAACCAGCCTTAGCTGGAGCTAAAAAAGAAAAAGGTGCGTGAATTTCACGGTAAAAAATAGAATCCGTTTCAGAGTTAAATAATTTTAAACCTACAAGATGGACTAGAGCCACATAAATTAATGTCATTAGTATTAAATTTTATGAATTATAAATTTATAATGTCGTACTTAATAAAAGTGGAATACACACACTTGTTGAGATTGACAATCAATTTAAAAAAAAGCTTGCGGTTCGAATACTTTAATTAAATTAAACGTTAATAACAGTTTTAATTTTTAAATAAACGAAAATCGCTCAATATTAATTAGAAATAACTCCGTAATATCGTCTAATTAATTAAACTTCGTAGAAATTATAAGTGCCTAAAAATTCATAAATTATTTAGCTCTTCCGTTAAATCAGTACTTATTAAAATAATGCCTCTTATTTTTTACAGTCGATGATGTTGTAAATATTACTTTTCCAGTCCATTGGAAATTGAGACATTCCGAAGATGCAGCAGTTATCAAGGCAGTGGTGCGAATATATGGCAAACAGGACGAACATGACACGATTCAGACGCCTATTAAAATACAAACGTCAAGTCGATTGCGTAGAGTGTTTAACGGACCTGCAAATACAGTTGCCCATACAGTGTGGTTGTTGAGAGTTGGCGAAGACCGGTGGCAAGACGTGGATGTGACAGAATTGTTACGTGAACGACGAGAGAGAAAGAACAGCACTCTGGAATTGTCCGTGCACATAAACGGATCCGTTAGCTTTGATCACCGACAACCCATTCTCCATGTATTCCTCAATGGCGTCGACCCAGATGAACTGGTGGGCGAGGACGCATTAGAAACTATTTGTGCAGGGAACCCTGAAAGAAGGAAAAAGCGAAAAAAACGAGACGGCGATGAAGTAAAACGACCACTTCAGACAACGTTTCCAAGTGACGGTGGAGGTGGTGGTCGCCGTAGACGGACTGACTGTAAACCACCTATGGTGGACGATAAATCTGCGGCGGGTAATAGAAGTAGTAATTTAACGGAACATAACAAGTGTTGTCGCGAAGAAATGCGGGTTGTGTTCGCGGATATACCGGGATTCGATTTTATAATCGAACCAAAGTGGTTCGATGCGGGTCTGTGTCGTGGACGGTGTCCGGCCAAGTACAATCCTGCTACGCGACATGCTTTTATTCAAAGTCTGTTGTGGAAACAGCACAACACTACCAAACGGCAACAACAGCAACAGCCTCAGCAGCAACAAAATGATCAGAGTCAAAAGTCAGGACGACACAAAATGCGACACGGTGGAAAACGAGATGGCGGAGAGATACCTTCCCCGCCACCACCTCCCAAACCCTGTTGCGCACCTAGTAAACTCGACCGATTACAGATTATCCATGTGGACGAACTTAACCCAAGCGCCCTAAAGGTAACCACGTGGAAAGAAATGGCTGTCGTTGAATGCGCTTGTTCTTAATGACCGCAAAATACTGCAAAGCTACTTAGTTTACTATACTAAAGCTTTCAGTTTTTGCAAACTTCCTAAAATTTGTTGATCCATTTCATTGGTCAACAGTCTAATTTTTAAATTATTTTTATGCCAATATGAAGCATTTATGGTACTGAAATATTGAAATTTCCTAGGGTTCACTATTAATTGAAGGAATCGGTGGAATACATGTTCAGAAGGGTAGATATAATATCAATATTTTTACTCAAACTATTTAATAAAAAAAAGGTTTAATAAAATGTTGTGACAGAGAAATAGTTATTTTGTCACCTAATAGTTAATGTGATCATGTAATCCTTTGATATCATCGAACTTTTAAGATTTTTAAAGTTAATTGTGTTCAAGTCCCAAAGTATGAGAAACATCTATGAGTGTATTCCTCCGTTTAATTCGTTACATTGTATATAATTATTATTTTTTTAATGAATAAGTAGCACTTGATGTGGATGTAAACAATGATGTAAAGATTTTTTTTTGTTTTTTATATATTTAAATTAAATTAATTGGCTAAGTGACTTTACCTACCATCAGTTTTAAGCGATATTGTAACTGTGATATTTTTTTATTTGTAATACAGCGTATAAAATATTACATTGGCTGTGTATTTCTTATAATCAATGGGTATTTAATCTACTTTTAATTATCAATCGCTAGTTGCAACCGTATCTTGATGCGATCGTGTTTTAAGAATAATTATAAAATTCATGGAAATATGTAAGAACTATAAAATAAATTGCATCCCAAGAGTAATTTTTAAAATAACAATACTCATTGGGAAAATATGCAGCAAAATTCACATTATTATGATGACGGGTTAATTTTAACTCGGGCATGTGTTATTTTCAGAACTGATTGTATACGACAATAAAATACATAATAATACTATAGTCATATTGTATAATGGTGGTAAATTTAGATCAACCAGTCAACACTAATAGAGGTGGGCGACGATTAAAACACCATCCCAAATGTTAAACGATCAAAACAACAGTAGTAATAATATTATTACTGAGAGGAATATCTAAAAATATTTGAAGGAAATAAAATAGTTGGACAATAAACGAAACTTTATAAGTTACTTTAAGTTTTTGGTAAAACATCAAACATGTTTCTAAACTAGTAGGAATAGAAGGTACATTAAAATCATGTATGACTAATGTACCCCAACAATAGTTATACGTTTGTTTCTGTCAAGAAATTATACTAGTACTAAAAAGGTAACAAGGTTAGAATGACTCATTCAAAGAAATTAAGTTCTCTCCGCAAAAATATTCTTTGTCACTGTATTTCTGTGTTGCGACAGTCGAGTTTTTGGGTATATTTAAGATGAAAGTAATAAGTTAGTAATGGAACTTACAAATGCTTAAATCGAGAATTTAGCAATATAATTTTCTGCTCTGAATAAAAATAATGTTCAATTTTAACATTTTACTCATAACGTACGAATGTGAACAATAGCGTATAAATATACGCTAATATACAGGGTGTTCAGGGTTTCTATTGTTAATGAGAACAATAGAAACCCTGAATTGTTTGTAACAATTTCGTTTTCAAAAAACAAAAAACGTTTCCTGACTTACTGAACATTCTGTATAGCTTCGATGCGAGCTGAGAAGGTATTAATTTTACCATTATGTGTTTATTTTTTAGCTTCGATGCGAAGCTAAGAAGGTATTAATTTTACTATGTGTTGTTTTTTTTTTTTTTTTTTGTCTGTGAACGCTTAATCTCAGCTCTCGCTGGACCGATTTTGATAAACAATATGTCAAAAGATCACAAATCGTATCTAGTCGAAGACATTACCCTCAAAAATTGAAAAAAATTCCTTCGTTCCCCGTAAACGGAGGAAATCCCCCCAAAAATTACAAATTTAAAAATCGCTAATTTTCGATATTTTTTTAATTTTTTTTACTTAAAAGTGCCATAACTTTTTTAAAAATGATCGAATCAATATATATATATATTTTTTTTTGTAAATACCTTAGATATTTACCTATCATTTTATATATTTTTGTGAACATTTGACCCTTTAACAGCCCAAAGGAAGGGTTTCAAAATGGTAACTTTTTTACAAAAAATTAACTTTTGAAAATGTTTCGGAAAGACTGACACTTTTATATATATCTTAAATTAAAGCTAATGTAATATACATTAATTTGAAAAAAAAAATTTGACCTCTGGACTTGTCTTCATGGTGAAAATGACTACCGTATGCAAAAATATGCTATTTTTGTGAAAAAATTCTTGATATTATATTTTACATTTTTTAACATTATGTTGCTATAACTTTTTAAAAAATGCATGAATCAACTTTATTCTTTAATGATAAATACTTTATATATACTTCTTTCATTCGACATACTTTTTTTTAAAATCGGACCATTTCCCTTTATACAGGGGGGGTGCAAACCTTTTAAAATGCGTATAGAAAGTAGAACTTTTTCAACTTAACTTTTGAAAATGTTCCGGAAAGACTGACACTTTTATATATATCTTAAATTAAAGCTTATGTAATATACTTTAATTTGAAAAAAAAAAATTTGACCTCTGGATTTGTCTTCATGGTAAAAATGACTACCGTATTCAAAAATTTGCTATTTTTGTGTTAAAATTCTGGGTTTTGTATTTTATTTTATGTTAAAATACCTGACAAGGAGAGTACAGATTTTCATAAATATTATATAAATTAAAATTAATATAGCATAGAAAGTTAAACTTATTTAAATTTGTTTGCTTCTTTTAAGTCGAGAAAAATAACTTTGAAATTTGAACTAGCTTAAATTGCCAATTTTTTCTCGAGATGGCATTGACGTACGGTTGCCGAGTTGGTAAAACATATGTTTTACACGCTTGGGGTACGAGGTTCCAACCCGCGTGTGGCAATGAATTTTTTGCATTTTTTCTTAATTCTTTTTAAGTTAGTATAAATTTTAACTCGTTTGATTTTTATCACATTTAGATTCAATAACTTCAATAAAGATCAAGGATCCCATCACTTTAGTCGCCCCTTGCAAGAAGAAATTTCTTATTCGTATTAAAATTATTTTACTATATTT